ACATTATCTGCTGGTCCCTTTACTACTGGTTTCACTTTTTGTTGTGGTGGTGGTTGTTGTTGCTATAGGGTGCATGTGATCGCCAGAGAGAGAGAGGAGAGAGAGAGAGAGGGAGGGAGGGAGGAGGGAAGAAAGGCAGGAAAGTGAGAAATTATCACTTGTGGGGGGAGGGAGTAATAGCCACATAGCCATTCCTTTTCCTCCTGAGATTTTGGGCATGCATGCTTATACACCTGGTGTTTTTCAAGCTGCGGGGTCTGGAACTCTAATCATGCAGTCTACCTTGTGGGATCCAGGTGCCCTAACCACCACACCACCTTCTGGCCCATTTTAACCATTTTTTAATGTATAATTCAGTGTCATTAGGGTATTCAGAATGTTGTATAACCATCTTTACTATTGTTATTTTCAGAATGTTTTTAATTATCCCAAACAATCCTTGTAGTCACTAAATAAACCCTTTTTCTTTTTGAGAGATTTTTGCTATAGGGTGTGTGTGCTCCCAGAAAGACAGAGAGACAAAGAGACAGAAAGCGAGAAATCACCTCCCAGGGGGGATGGCCACGCCACAATCCCTTCTCCTCCATTCTCCTCTTGGGATCTTGGGCATGCACGCATACACACACGCCTGGCGTGAGTTTAAGCCACTGGGTCTGGGACTTGAACCGTAGTCGACTACATGGAAGTCCAGCGACATAGCCATTACACCATCTGCTAGTCCCTAGAAACAGATTTTTAATGTAATATTTTTAGTGCAAAAATTCCTATATAAAAATCCATCAGTATTTTGCTTTTTGAAGTCTAGATTTGTTTTCTTTCATATCTCAGAAATTATGATTTTTGGTACAAGTTCATTGTCCCTTTTAGTCTTTACTTTTAAGAAAATTTAAAATATTTTACCCAATTTTTAAAACTATCTTTAGTAGGGGACCAGCAGATTGCATAATGATTACATTACTGGACTCCCATGTGGTTGACTACAGTTTGAGTACCAGACTGGCAGCTTAATACTCAGGCCTGGTGCGTGTGCATGCACAAAATCCAGAGAGAAGAATGGGGAAGAGATTGCAGCATGGCCAGTCCCCCGGGAGTGCGGGGTAGAGGGAGGTGATTCTCCCTTTCTGTCTCTGTCTCTGTTTCTCTGATGAGCACATGCACCCTATTGCAAAAAATCCTCATAGAAAACACACACACACACACACACACACACACACACAAAGTTGTCTTTAGCAGGACTAGAGATTGAATTACGTGGGTGTTGCTGAAAGTGGTATAACCTATATTTTGGATTTCTGCTTTAGAATTCTGTAGTAAGATTTTATGTATATGAATTCCAGTTAAAAATTGTACTTTGACTATATAGACTTTTTTTTTCCTTTAAAAAATTTTTTTATATACGTCGATTTTTGAGGGAGTTGTCTTCAGTTGTAGGATAGACTGTGGTCAAGGTTATAATGTGAATTGATTTGTTAGCACTCAGGGTATAATTTGAAGTTATTTTGCGAAATTTGTTGAACAAATGTATTTTTGTGACTTCACTGTATTCTAGGATAAAAAGTGGTTTATCTTATGTAATACACTCCCGTTAGCCTCATAGTGAACTGAAAGGTGGTGTGATCCTTCTGTTGCTAGGTTGAGAAGCAGTAGAGAAAGAATGGAAGCAGGAGAAACATACAGCAGTGTTGGAGACACTGAAAACGGGGGAGGGAGAATCCCGGACAAACTTGGAACCTGCGTGAAACTGCCATTTCACAGCAGTGATAGTCTGAAATATTTTTATAATACACTATGCTATTTAAAAAATCTTAGCTCTGTTCAGGGTTGGAAGAAAACTCAAGATGAAATCAGAGTTCTAAAGAAACTGGAAGGGGCTCTTGGATCTGCCCACTGGTGACAAAGGAATAGTTTAGAAAATAGGTTACCAAAACGTAAGAGTTTAAAAATTTATAAAAATGGTTCAGTAGTAGCTGATTTGAATGCATAGAAAAGATTAGAACCAAATATGCAGTAGATAAAATCGGAGCGGTCGTAGTTCCCATTGAGTAGGGAGAAATGATTAACCTAAACTTGTGCATAAGCACCACAGTGTAAGGATTAGGTAATGCTTCATTTAATACATGCTGTCCCTCGGAGCCTGGTTTTTCCTTCTTTCACTCCCTACTATTTTCTACCTTTTCTTCTTATGTGACTGTAAAAGCACCAATGAGCTGTTTGCAAAACCTAGTTGCATCACCTTGAACATACCGAGATTTTTTTTTCCTGAGTTTTATCTTTTTTTTTTTCCCTTAGGTAAATGTTTAGTCTATATCCTCTCACCACAGTGTCTTGAGGCCTCCAGGAAGTTTTTCAATTCGGCCTATAGCTCAGAAATGGTTGTACAGTCTAGATCCCTTCCTGGGAGGTTTAAGTGCATCTTAATAATAGTTCTTGGAAATGTCTGTTTAAGCTTTTAAATGTCTGTTTAAGCTTTGAAATACTTGAGACCATTATATCTTACCCCAGAAACTTTAGTCAGTCTCTTCAAATCATAGTTGCATAGAGGAAGAGGCACCTTAGATGCCATTTAAACACATTGGAATAATATTAAATAGATAATAAATGATTAATAAACTGTGCTACATAAAAATACACATTCATCCAGGGTAAGTAAATACTGAGCCAAAGGGCAAGTGATATGGGAAAATATCCCTTGTGTTGTAGAGGAGGGCTGGGCTGAGCACCTGGATTTAAATATTTATATATTTATATATTTATATATTTATATATATAAAGGACCCTAGATCAATTAAATTTATTTTTTAACATGGACAAAGGCAGTGAACACACAATATAAAAATGCATATGGATACTTGGGGGAACATAGTACATTTTCTTTTTTCTTTTTTTTTTTTTTGGAGAGGTTTTTGCTATGGGGCATAGTGGATTTTCTTTAGATGATAGTAAAGTGACATAAACAAGTTTATTTGTTAGAATTTTTTCCTCTAATGTGAGCAAGCAGACTACCAAATAAGTAGCAAAAACTGCTGTATAAGTTACTTAAGCTGAAAAATCTTTATTTGCAGTGGATCTGCACAAACTCTTAGGTCATAGAACATATAAATTAGCTGTAATTGCAATTTTTGGTTGGTGGCATATTTCTAATTTAAGGTTTTCTTTTAAAAAATATTTACTTTTGTATTTGTTAGATATTTCAATCATCAGTTCCAATGAATGAATTATAAATTGTGCTCATTGTGGAAATGCTGTTGTGGATGATTTATAATAGCAAATTTTTCCATAAATGAAAGTAAACATAAGATCCACATTACTTTATTTCTGGAAAGGAATTATTTAAATATTATTTAAGAAAATATTTGAAGGGAACCAGCAGTTAGCGTAATGGCTATGTCGCTGGACTCCCATGTAGTTGACCGCGGTTCGCGTCCTGGACCTGGTGGCTTAAAACTCACGCCGGGTGCATGTGCATGCGTGCCCAAGATCCCGAGAGGAGAATGGAGGAGAAGGGATTGCGGTGTGACTATCCCCCCTGGGGAGCGATTTCTCGCTCTCTGTCTCTATGTCTCTCTCTGTCTGTCTGGCGAACGCACGCGCCCTATAGCAGAAAAAAAAAAAAAAAACCTCTCCAAAAAAAGAGAAAAAAAAAGAAAATATTTGAAAACTTATTTTAATATTTGTAAAATGGATTGTTTTATTTTTCAAAGCTGTAATTTTTGAGTATATTAAATTTATTGTATCTTTATCTAGACAATTTCTAGATTACTCAGAAATTATCTAATTTCTGATATTAGCATGAAGAAGAAAATATGATTTATATTACCATGTTATGAAGTATTAGAGTATTTTTGTCAAAATTTATGATTAGACTTTAGAAACTTAATGTTGTCAAGTATGCAGCATCTAATAGATACAGTCTAATAATTACAAGGAACAGTATCTTGTGTTCAGTTGACTTAGGAAATAGTAAATGGCATGATTGATATTTGAGTTGCGGTAATGCCCTAATTCGGTCTCTGGTTATTTTTAAAAACTTGATACATATTATTCAGATATGATTTTATTAAGGAAATCAAGCCAAATGTATGAATCATCTGATTTATTATTCAGGACTTGTGGTTGTTAATAACAAACTCAATTAGAGCTTAAATAGATAAATAAACCAAAGGGAAGGTATAGGTTTATTGGCAGGATACCAAAACACCTTACATAGTGGAAAGAAGCAGGCTCCTTGGAGAACTCAAGGACTGGAAGTGGGGGCACAGTCTCAAATACTCTGTATTGGTATCCTTCAGGGCATTGGGATGATTCTGTCAGATTTCGCCTATCTCTTGGCATATCAAACATTACCACTTCCATTTTGTGTTCCACATTGATTTTTACATGTGGTCTAGGGGAGTCCCAAATCTCAGAGGGCTTGCCTGTTATGTTTACTGACTCCGAAGAACTCACCTGAAAGGCCAGCTGAAGACAGGAGTTTGTTTACATTGGGGCAATAATGTTATGCTCACAGAAAATGGTTTTGTGTGGCCATGAGCTTAAGTTCTTCTTTTTTTCTTTTTATTTATTTATTTTTAAGAGATATTTGCTATAGGGAGTGTGCGTGCACCAGAGACAGAGACAAAGTGAGAAATCGCCTCCCAGAGGGATGGCCATGCCACAGTCCTTGCTCCTCCATTCTCCTCTCAGGATTTTGGGCATACCTGCACCCGGCATGAGTTTTAGTCTGCTGGGTCTGAGACTCAAACCACGGTTTACTATATGTAATTCCAGTGACATAACCATTATGCCATCTGCTGGTCCCAAACCTAGGTTTTATACACTAAGAGCAGAGTACTTATATATCAATTAAATGTCAGTGTAAAGTCCCTGTCACCAAGATGTTGGTCTAGTTGCTTGAAGTTTACAGTGAAGGTTAGCTTACTGATTAACAGAATTGGCAAGGTATGTGTAGGGTTTAATGTCCCTAATTTAGTGATATTCATGTGTGTGTGGGTTGCACATACCTCTGGAAGGCCCCCTTTCCAACGGCCCTAGGCTGATGGTGAAGGTCATGGTCACAAGATGTTCAGGATACCCAGCCAGACCAGCACCTATTTATCAGGGAGAGAAGACCAAGAAGGAGGGAGGATGAGAACCCAATGTATGGAACATACTCTCAACATGGTACTTATTTTTTTTTAATCACAGCAGTTGGCTAAAAACAAGGCACTTGAAGACATGATGTTGTGAAAGGAATGTTTGGGAACTCATGTTGTATCTAGTTACTTGAGTGATTTGTGTGCTCCATTGTATGTCAAATATTACTGTTTTTCTAAAAAAAATTAAACAATCCTTTTGTGGGATGGCTTTGGTGATGTAAAGGTTCTTGGTGTTTCGGATAAAAAATTGAAGGAAACTTGCCAATACAAAAACAAAGGGTAGTTTAATAAGTAAAAGCAAAAGAATATTCCCGAGAGGTAGAAGCAGGCCTGAGTGCAAGAAAGAGTGGCCCAAGGGTTGCATTCTCTAAGGTTTATAATTTTTCAAGTCTGGGCTATGGTGGTTGGTCATTGGCTGGGCTCACTGATTGTTCTCATCTCATTGGCTATGTTAAATGTGGCTGGGCCAACTGATTCATTGTACTGACTATATCAAATATGGCTTAATCAGCTAGACACTCCCCCACTGGAAATGTCTCACCTATGTAACTGTGCTGCCCTAACTGATTTTTGCGTTTAGCCACGTAGGCAGATGTTCAAGCCCCCTCGCCCACTTCCATTTTCTAAGTTTTTCCTGCCTCAGTAATGTAGTGCTTCTGTGAATTTACTGTGGTACCCTGAGTGCCCCAGCCCATACCTGGTGACCATGGTTCTAGTAGAAGGTGAGGCATTCTGATTGGTTTTCCCTTGGGTCATGTGGTCAAGGAAATAGACTGTGATTTGATTAATCTGGGTCTCTCACCAACTTGTGTTTAGAAGGGTATAATAATAATATTTCATTGTATGGGGACCAGCAGTTGGTGTAGTAGCTATGTTGCTGAACTCCCATGTAGTCGACTGCAGTTTGAGTCCTGGACCTGGTGGCTTGAACTCTGCTGGACGCGTGTGCCTGCGTGCCCAAGATTCCAAGAGGAGAATGGAGAAGGGATTGTGGTGTGGCCATCCACCGGGAGGTGGTGGTGATTTCTCGCTTTCTGTCTCTGTCTTTCTGGTAAGCACATGCACCCTATAGCAAAAGACACACACACAATTTCATTGTATGGAAATATTAGTTTACCTATATCCAGTTGTTTAAAAGGTATAAAAAGGACGTAAGTTAGCATCGTGTATGTGTGTGTGTGTGTGTGTGTGTATACGAACTTATAAGTCTATGACTATTTCTATAGCATAGATTCTAGTAAATTTCACTTAACAGTTAAATTGGAAGAAAAAATTATAGATTGGAAAGCATATTTGTGTGTGTGTGTGTGTTTTAAGTTTTGCTAGAGGGCATTTGCATTCAACAGAAAGAGAAAGTAAAAGTGAGAAATTCCCCCCCTGGGGTGGGGGGATGACCATTGCTGCAATCCCTTCTCCTCCAGTCTCCTCTCAGAATTTTGGGCTCACGCACACATTCCTGGCATGTTTTTCAAACCAACAGACCCGGGACTTGAATTGCAAGTTGGCCATGTGAGATCCAGCCAACTTAACCACCATACCACTAGCTGGCCCTATCTATGGTTATTTTATCTTTTAAGAATTATTTTACTTTATTGTTGTTGTTATTTATTATTTAATTTGACCAGAGAAAAAGAGAGAGAGGGAAAGTGAGAAAACAAGCTGCCAGGGGCGTGTGGGAATCCAGCACCTTTAGCCACCACACCACCTGCCAGCCCTTCTATGGTTATTTTTAATCACTTACGAGAATAAATTTTATCTATCCTAAAACTTTTTTTTTTTTTAATCGCCAAAATGTGTGTTTACTTGACAGAGACAGGCAGAGTGACAAAGTGCCTTTCAGTGGAGCATGGTCACCTTGCAATCTCTTTTTCTCCATCCCATCAGGATTTTGGACATGTGTCCAATATGTTTTTCTAGCCACTTGGGCTGGGATTCCAACTGTAGTCAGCTGCGTGTGATCCAGATTCCTTTTTTAAATTTTTAAATTTATTTTATAAAAGTTTAGCCTGGAGTGGGGAGCCTGGGCACAGTCTCACCCAGTGATGTCATACTGGGTACCTTGGGTCCCCTGCATATAGGAAGGGGTTTGGAGGGCTGTGTGGGGCTTTGCTAGCTCCATGGGTCTGTGCTCTAAGTACCAGGGAAAGTCCCAGGGGCCCCGCACACCGATCTCCAGGCCTTCTGTCTGCCCTTGATCCCTTGCCCTGGCACCCCAACAACTGGGCCTGGCAAGCAAGTGCAGGCCCTGCCAGCTGTCACTGTAACATCCATTCTCCATGGTGGGGTAGGAGAATTCCCACCTAGCACCACTAGCTCCTGCCGCTCCTCCCCATCCCTGCCCCATAGCTGGGAACCAGGCCCCTGGCAGCTGGAAGCCTCCAATGGGGCCTCATGGAAGCGATAAGCTTCTGTGGGGTTTTGAGCCTTAGCCCACGAGGCAGCAGGGACCAAGGCAACCAGGAGCTCTGCCGGTTTCCCACTTTCCACTGTTCTTACCTCCCCCTTCACTCCAAAGACCGATCCAGATTCCTATGCATTGTGCCTAACTGCTATGAGGTCGGCCCCCAAAACTCTTAAAAAGTGGTATTATTTTATTTGTTAAATCAAACATTTTGTGTAGCTATTGAGGGGAGTATTGTGTGTTGTGGGAGGAAGAGAATAAGAGAGGTGAAGGTAGATTCTGTTTCAGATTTGTAGTTGTCCATGCAGGTGCTGTGTGGGCAGTCCTGAGGAGAGCTGGTACTCTGTGATCCTGTGCTGGCAATAGCAGTCAGGGCTGCAGAAATGAGTGAGCTTTCTGGTGGTAACTGGAACCTTGAAGAGTCTTATCACTTATGCGGGAGGGACTGGTACCATTTAGCATGTGGCCCTGGTCAGGCCTGTTCATGAATGGTTTCAGACTGTTAACAGGTTGGGAAAACAGGCCTTATGAAGAAAAGTGAGGGACCAAAATATCCTGAGGAAATATGTGATATAATGCAGTTCCTTTTTTCCCCCCCTTTTTAAAATTTCCCAGTTTGCTAGAGACATGTGTGCTGGCCAGAGAGAGAGAAAAATGGAGGAGAAAGTGACTCCTGCAGTGGAACGTGGCCATGCCCCAATCTCTTCTCCATCCTGTTGGAATTTTGGGCAGCCGTGACCATACACCAGCGTGTTTCTCAAACTGCTGGGGCCAGGATTCCAACTGCAGTCGGCCTGTACTGCAGTTGGGCTGTAACTTGCTTAACAGCTAGACTATAGGCTGGCTAAAGATTATTTCTTCCATGAGAGAAAAAGAGGACAGTCCCAACAGGTCTGTATTTTTTAAAAATAATTATTTTGTTGAACTTTATTTATCTTAATTTGACCAGAGAAGAACAGAGAGAAGGGGGAAAAATGGGAGAAAACAAGTCGCCAGGTCCGGGATTTGAACTGCAGTCGGCCACGTGGGAGTTCAGTGCCCTTAACCACCACGCCCTGCTGGCCTCCCCAACATGTTCTTAGTGCTACAATCTACCCCATTCTCAGCCCACCTAGAGACCTTGGGACCTATGTAGCCTCAGCATCACAGAGGATTGTGTTACCCCGGTGTCAGTAAGGCTGATCAGTACATTTAGAGTGAACATAAGGAATTCAACCAGCTGGTTTTATTAAAAAACCCCTCCCACCCCCTTTTCTGATTAGTGGGTTAAGCAAAATGATAGCCTAAACTTTGTGATTTTTTTTTTAAACTTTTATTTATTTTTGTTTTTACTTTTGCCTAAGCATTTTTTAAGAATTATTTAATTGATTCATTAATAGTTTAAATTTAACAAGAGAGAGAAAGGGAGGGAAACTGAGAAAGCAAGTCTCTAGGTTTGGTACTCAAACTATGGTCGGCCACGTGGGAGTCCATCCAGCACCTTAACCACCACACCACCTGCTGGCCCCAGCCTAAGCATTTTTAAAATTCAAGGTTTGGGTTTTGTTTTCAGTGTCATTGCGAACCCTTGCTTGTCTGAATTTTCCTGGGTTGTCGATTTAAGTACAGTTTTTAAAAGGCATAGGAGAAATTGGTTTTACTTTCAACTTGTATTTTGTTAGCCTTGGTTTAACGTAGTATTTTTGCCTTTGTTTTCTCAAGTAAAGCATGCTAATGAATTCTACCTTCTGGCTTTAGCTGAATAAGTTCCTTTCTTCCCTGTATGTATTTGGATGGCAGTCAGATGTATCCCTCTGTTTACATGAGATAAATATTACTAGCTTAAAAGGGTGGATCTTTTTCTGGGGATATGTTGGATTGAAAATGGTGTTGAGGTCAAGACAACTTCTGGTCTCTTGGCCATTTAATAATCTCAGAAGAATTTCTTTGGAAGAGGAGGTATTTGAGCTCACCATTTAAACAGAGCCCACATTGTGTGTGTGGATATTGGAAGTTACTTGAATTTTTATTAGCTTGTTTTTAAAAATATGAGTAGCCCCCTACCTAATTGCCAGAATATAAATTTTAACTAGGCCAGTAGAAGAGTGGATTCTTTTTATTTCACACAGCCTCTCTACTATTTGAATTTTTTCTCTCCTCTGAATGTACCTCTTGGCTAGCTGGAGTTGGACAGTTTTTAATTGTGATGAGAGCAGTTAAAAATTCAAAGTTGTTTCTTCTTTTCATTGTCAAGTTGTATGCTTAAAGGATAAATGCATTTTTCATTGATCTTTCTGTCCACTTCATTCAGATTTCCTTGTCCATTTAGATGCCCAGTCACTTGTATAAAACTCAGTAGAAGGAGCTAGGACTTTTACAGTCTGTTTATAGATGGAGAAAGGAGCATTAACATTCCAAAACAAGTTTTGTGTGTGGATAAGTAATATGCAGATTATCTACGGAGGTTTGGGATTTAAAACTTCATGATCAAGTGAGTGAGTGTATGTGCACATGAGAGAGGTAGGGGAGGGGGTGAAAGGAGGCACCCTTGACAAGGTCCCTCACACTGCAA